GCTCAACTGAGGCAGAGCTGACTCGTCGAAGCCTCAAATGCGGATTTTCTTAGTTGAGATCGACTGTGGCAGCTTTACTATGGGCCTTTGAGTGCGCCACATTCAAAAAGAGAAAACTTAGGAAAGAAGTTGCAAAACTTATTCCAACCTAATAAATTAGTATCAAAAACGGAGACTGTACGTCTAACCTAGTCTATCAGCCATATCTCGGTAGAGTTTCTCACTGATGCAATCATCAGGGTATTTTTCACAGTCCGTCTGGCAGAAGAATGTCGCCCATGACATCCATCCCATTGGTGGGGTCCTAAATACAGAAAATTTAGGAAAAAAGTCTACTCATATTTGCGAAGGACAAAGAAACGCTGTCCGAATTACCTGGCCAATCCATTCTCTAAAGCTATCACTACTCCAATGGAAGAAATGAGCAGTATTAGCATGACGAAATTCCTTAACTAAGTTTTGGAAAGATTATTCAAAAATACTCTGCATAAATCGAACGAAGTTAAAAAAGCGGCACTCTCTTTTCTTCTTTTACTTCAACCTCCTTCAAAGCGCCGTCAATCGAAATCGAAATTTGGAGAGTCATAATAGCGAGCCTTTTGGATGAGTAGATGTCCAAGTCCTCTCCAGAAGGTATTAGCCACAACTAGAAAATTTCCCAGAGGTTGATTCTGCAAGGGTACCATGCCCATCAACATAATTGGTCTAACAAGTAGACTCTAGAATATCTAGAAATGTCGAAATGTGTTTTTCTATTAGATGATTTTCTTTAATGTACTATCAAGACTTTTCTTGTGGCTGGCTAGCTTTAATCCACCCACGTTAATGGGAATGGCAACTCATCAGCGGTAACCTTCTGGGACAATCTTCCCGTTCCAAAACACAAATTCTGAAGTGGAACGTGGGCGTTCCTCAGTTAGAGCCCTTGCTTCGATGATGATGCTAGATGGTAGTGAGTCAACGAGTATGTCAATTTCTCGCAGGAACAAGACCATAACCTTGAAATGCTGCTTGGTAGTTAGGAATAGTAATATTTGGAACCAGTGTTTGAAGCTGAGTCAGAATATCATTACTATATACCCTGGATCTCGCCTCCCTTTGGTTTTTTCCGCGCCGCAGTGATA